CTCTCAGTCAAGGCGGTAGGGTTAGAATGAGGAAGAACCCTAGCTGCTAGTCGTGAGAACAGGGAAATTTGTGTGCCTCCGTTTTCTCACCTGTAGCCCTCGCATGCCCTTGGGCATAACAAGAGTAATACTGGTCCCTACTTTGTAGAATTGTTGTATGGAGTGAACTAGGTTCATGTACAGAGGGTTTGTCTCTAGAGCTTCAATGAAAGTCCACTGTTGGTGCTGGCACTGTTACTATTACCCAAAGCCACTCAGCTGTGCTAGCCTCAAACTGGCACCGTCTGCTCTGCCTCTGAATGGTACACCTGCCTGAGTGGGTCTCTGTTATTGCTCCAGTGTGACTTTTAAGGCCTCACTCCCTCCATCCTAAAATTTCTTGCAATGACCTAGAGAACTCTCCCCGAGATGAATTTTTGGAAATCTGATGGTCTCTGTCCTCTTGCTCTGATCTTTCTGGACCTCCTGTACTCGGAGCCGGAGGCCCTGGACCTACAGAGGCTTGGTGGTTTGAATAGATGGTGGCTGGGAGGCTACTCTGGCTCGCAGTCCCCAAGCCAGAAGGAGCCTGGGTATCCCGTCCCTGTGTTGCAGGCCCATCATCCTGGATCCGGTGGACCCCACCCACAATGTGGCAGAAGGGTACAGATGGGACTTAGTCGCTCAGAGGGCCAGACAGTGCCTGAAACAGGACTGTTGCTATGACAGCAGAGAAATCCCAGTCCCCACCTGGACTGTGAAGGTAATGGCTCCTCTTGAGTCCACCACAGGCCTGAAGCCCAGAAGGGGATGTTGATCTATCTGCTTTTGTGCCGATGAAGAATAGCACTTTACAGGGAGACAGAGGGAAGCCCGGTGCACCGCCCACTGGTTCCATAAACCTAGAAAAATTCTTTGACTAAGGTTCAGATTTCCCATCTTTAAATTCTCCTCCTTTTTTTTCTTTTCCCCCTATAACCTACTGAAAAAATCAGTTCCATGTCCCTGATCATTCTTTGCAGGAGTTGAGCTTGCCAAGTCAACTCAATCAGCTGTTAGGTTCCAGAACTGGAGCTGGGAGTGGGGGAGGGGCAGCACCAGGGATACAAAAATAAGACGTGGTCCCTAGCCTCAAAGAACTCACCCAATGCTGTTCGGAAGCAAGTCCACTAAACAAACTGCACAAAGCTGATTGAACAATTACCAGAGGAGACTGGATACTCAGAAAAAAAGAAATTACTAAGTTATTATGCAGTACCAAACCTACAGGCAAAGATCATCATAATCTATTTAATCCACATATTATATTTTACAATTTGCAGAGTGCTTATCCAGGGATTGTCTCAGTTGATCCTCGAGGGCAATTCTAAAAAAAAAAAAAATGGAAATTCAAACATTATCATTATCTCCATTATAATATAATAATATCACTATTGTTGCCATTTAACACATGAGGAAACTGAGGCTCAGAGAGGTTAAGTCAATTAATCGAGGTCACACTGCTCAGAGTCAGCAAAGTCAGGATTCACAGCCAGGACTTTGTAGATCTCCAAAAAAAAACAAAGGAAATATAAGTGATTTTAAAGTTACCAGAGAAGATTCCTTGAAGGAACTAGGGCTTAAGGTGAACCCAAAAGACCTCACCTTGTGTGTTTGGATGCTCTGATATAGATATAGAGGCTCAGAACAAAGGACACTCTAGACTGAGGGCTGGAGTGAGACTAAAGGATAAAGGACGGGATGTGGGAATGAGCAAGGTTCTGTGCAGGAACGAGAGACTGACCCATCAGAGCAGAAGGCAGAAGCAAAAACAGAGACTCTATAATAAGGCACAGAGAGCAAATCAGGGGTTCACCAACCACATGAGGCCTACAGGTATGCTGAAAATGACATGCCTCTGGGTTTTTCCTAAATATTAAAAAAAAAAAAAATTGTGCACACATTTTTATCTGGAAAAATGAGAAGACTTTGCAGCGCTCGACCTAGATTCCTGCCCAGAACTGCGGGGCCCTTACTCCCTCTGGAACTAATATCCAGTGACCACTTAGCCCTGCTTAGCCACAATGGTTTCATCCCTAAAACCTGGGAGATCCGTCCTCCTAGGGTTGCAGTAAGAAGAAAACCGCATTCAGACTAGAGCAGGGGATGCGCAGCCCCGGGAAGGGGCCGGGACTCCCTAAAGGCTTGCTACTGCTGCTGCTGCTGCTGGTTGGGTTGCTTTTGCAAAGAAAAAGGTGAAGGGAATTTTTGCACGTGGGGAAGCATGAAGGTAACCCCTCTCCCCCTCCCCCTCCCCCTCCCCTCCCCTCCCCCTCCCTGCAGTCAGCGAGAGACATCCAGGTGACGGTGCAGCAGTGGGGTCGCTCCGATCTTGTCCTCTGGGTGAACCCTTACGCGCCCATAAAGAAGATGAAGGAGAAGATCCGACAGAGCCGGGGCTGCGCGGGCCTCCAGCGCCTGTCCTTCCAGGAGCCCGGCGGCGAGCGGCAGCTCCTGCGCAGTCACTGCTCCCTGGCCTATTACGGGATCTTCTCCCACACCAGCGTCTGCCTGCTGGACACCGTCTCCCCCGAGATCCAGGTCTTCGTGAAGAGCCCGGACGGTGGGAGCCACGCCTACGCCGCCCAGCCCGCCCACCTGGTCCGCAGCCTGAAGGAGCAGATCGAGGACCGGCAGGGCCTGCTCCGGGAGCTGCAGCGCCTGGAGTTCCGGGGCCACGTCCTGCAGGACTGGTTCAGTCTGGACTACTACGGCGTCGGAGACAGCGACACTCTCACTCTGTCCGAGAAGAAGGCAGGAGAAGCTCGGTTTCCCTCCAGCTAGTTTCCTCCGGGAAGCTTCTCTGTCTGCCTCTCTGTCTTCTAATCCAGGCCCCGGTGCCACATCTTCACCGACTTTGTCAACAGCTCTACTGGCCCTGCCAGTAGGGGAGGGGAAGAGGTGCGAGAGACTAAATATACAAATGGCCCATGGCCAGATCCTATGTGACAGTAAAACTCTGACCCACAGCCTCCACAGCAGCCAACCCAGAACCAAGTCCAGGACTAAGTCAATCACTGCCGTTTATCTAATTTCCCACACCACCTAGAACTCACTTTCCATTTAGGACCAACCAGAGAAAACCAAATGAGCTCCCCAAACCGATCACAGAGGTAGTCTGCTTGTAGTTGGCACCTACAACTTCCCAGCGATAACCAGCTTGATCATGCTATGCCTGAAGCCTTCATCATTTGTCAGGTTCACTGTAAAGCTTTCCCATTCTCCTGCCTGCCCTGAGTCTCTGTGGAAGGCAAAGGATAGTGCCTGAAAGTTGTGAATAAACAACCTCTGTTCTCATTTGGGTGGTCGTTCATTTCCACAGGTGCTGATGCTATCCTAATGGGTATTATTTAATCATTTGAACCTCTCAAATTTGAGCCCTCAGGATTGAAACTGTCTCTAAATAAAACATTTAAAAAGGGCTGAGGATGTGGCTCAGTGGTTAAGTACCCCGGGATTCAATTTCCAGTACCGAAAAGAAATAAATGAATGAATGAATTATTGAATAAATCAATCTTAGTCCATTTGCGTCGCTCTAACAAAATACCATGAACTCAATGGCTTATAAATAACAAACGCTTATTTCTCACAGTTCTGAAGGCTGGGAAATTCAAGATCAAGGTGCTAACAGATTTGCTATGTGGTAAAGACCTCTTCCTGGTTCTTAGATGGCAGCTTCTCACTGTGTCTTCACATGGTGGAAGAGATGTTAAAATAAACAACTAATTAATTTCAACAACATGGTGGATGAAGTGAGGAGGAGGTCTCTTTCATGAGGGCCACTAATCCCAGTCATGAGGGTTCTGCCCCTCATGACCTACTCACCTTCCAAAGGCCCCACCTCCTGAAATCCTTGGGGGGTCAGGATTTCAATACAGGAATTTGGGGGACACAAACATTCTGATCAGAGCAGTTACCTTTCTTTCTTTCTTTTTTTGATAGAAAATCCAAGGCCAGAGAATTTGTTTGAATGATGTTTTGACACACTCATCCTAAGAAATAAACAAAGCATTCCAAAAAGACAAAACTTATTTTGATTTATCTTTCACCCGTGGAATATCTTAGACACAGAGATTCTTATTTGTCTGTCTTGGGTCAGTGCTGGGAATCAGTATTTTTTTAAATACTGATTGAAAAGTCCTGGGCTGGAAAACTGCCGAGTTTCCCACCTGAATTAGCCAGGACAATACATCTCACATTTTACACACAAATCACAGGAAGAGCTTCTCAGAATGCAGATTCTGATCTGGAAGGTTCGTGGTGAAGCCCGACTTTTCTGCATTTCTAACAAGCTCCCAAGAATTCTGCTGCTACTGGGGCCATGAACTGAGCTCTCAGCAGCAAGGCCCCAAGGTATTAGAAGAAATAACAGACTTCTGGGCCCCAAATCTGATAAAAAGATTCTAATTCAGTTAGAATTAGAAATCCCCAGTTTAACAAGTTCCCTAAGATGATTCTGACCCACAGATGGACTTAAAATTACTGGAATAGGGCTGGGATGTGGCTCAAGCGGTAGCGCGCTTGCCTGGCATGCGTGCGGCCTGGGTTCGATCCTCAGCACCACATACAAAGATGTTGTGTCTGCCGATAACTAAAAAATAAATATTAAAATTCTTTCTCTCTCCCTCTCTCACTCTCTCTTTAAAAAAAAAAAATAAAATTACTGGAATAAATAAATAATGTCTAAACTACCTGGGATCAAAACCTGAACGTGGTTGGAATGTGGTGTGACCTCAGGCAATTCCCTTCAGCCTTGTGGGTCTCATTTTTCTCATCAAGACAAGACTGGAGAAGTTCATCTCTTGGATTCTTCACGCGCTCACATTGGAGGACAGCCTCCACCTTCTAGCACAGTTCGGGGCCCACTGCTTGCCTGAATCTGAGGACTACAATCCCCATAATGCCATGCACTTCTCCACCCTCACGTGGGGCCCTGTGGGCGGGCCCACAATAGAGGTGTTCCCGCGATCCTTTGCGGTAGCCCAAGATGGCGGCCCCCGGTGGCGCCGTGAGCGATTCAGAGAGCAGTAGCAGCAGCGAGGAGGAGGAGCTGGCGCGGTGCCGTGAGGCTGCGATGCCGGCCTGGGACCTGGAGCAGCACCCGCGGGGAGCAGAGAAACCACGAGCCGGTAGGGGGCGTGTTCTGGGAGGCTGTCCGTGGGGCGTGAGTTCTTCCCATAGGACCTGAGAGCATGGGTGGTGAGGAGGGAGTCCCCATTCAAGGTGCAGTAGGAAGGGTCGTTCCGTGGTCCCAGCGGGAGAAACTGAGACACCTCAATGTCTCTCGACTGCATTTTCTGCAGGGCATCCTTACAGCCTCCTCTCTGAGAGGACTGGCAGCCCCGCTCCCTGCATTTTCGCGTCCAGCCTTCCCGCGCCTGCAGTGCATTCCCCACCCTCTGGACGCCAATGAGCTCTGTCCACGTCTCTCAGACCTTGTGTGACCGGCTCTCTAGTGCCCTGGGATTAAATCTGAAATCCCTCAACATAATCGTGGTTAGAATCCTTAGGGTCCTTGTATTTGAAGTGGCAAAAAATATTGCATCTTATTTTCATTAACCCCTAACTAAAATGTAGCAGCTCTTTCTGTCGTGCGCATGAGCAACAAGTCACAGTTGCTTTGACGATACCTGTTACTTTGTTACAACATGAATCACCAGATTTTCGAATTGCATTACAATCTTTGTCCATATATCAAAATATTTTTCTTATTCACAGTATGTTGGAAAGAGGTCATTTATACTCATCCCCTTGCTTTAAAAAACAGTGAATTTTAGACCCATTACTAGATCTTATTTAATAAAGATCTGTATTAATAAAGAAGCATATGCACTAATATCATAAATTTGGTTGTTTACTATTAAGAGAGCTAAATTTCAGCGTTATTGGGGTTTTCCATAAGTCAGTATGTTGCATTTTATGACCTGAAACATTCTGAGAAGGGATCCAGGCTTCACGGTGCTGCTAAAGAAAATTAAGGCAAAGGGCTGGGGCTCAGTGGTAGAGCGTTTGCCTAGCACGTTCGAGGCTCTGGGTTGGATCCTCAGCACCACATAAAAATAAACAAATAAAATAAAGGTATTATGTCCAACTGCAACTAACTAAATAAGTAAATAAAATTAAAAAAAGAAAATCAAAGCAAAGAAAGGTTAAAATCCATATATTTGGTCACCCATTCCCTGCCTGTTTCTCCCTAGTGCTCTTGCCATTCTCCACTTCCCACAGGTAGAGGCCAAACTACACCCTACCCACTTACCTCTGAACACGGAGAACTGCAGTTTTTCCTGCAGTTTTGGTAGACAAATCTGCTTCTCTGTCTCCATTTCCACTCACTAGCAGTAAGAACTTGAGCATACTGTTTACATCCTGCTGTACCTGAATTTCCTCTTATAAGGTTGGGAAGTTACTGAGATGATGCATCTGCAGTGCTTGGCACATAGGAAAGGCCCGGTAAATGGTGGCAAATGTGTGGTTGATTTCTGTACATGGACTGCTTGCCTCTCCCCCAGACTTAACTCTTGCTCATCCTTTAATGTAACGAGACAAAACCACTTTGGGAAAGCTCTCAGTCTTTCAAGTTGGGGTTACCTGCCTTGTGTGTGCCCCCATCATTCTTTGTGTGATTCCCTTTGTAAATAGTACTTTCATATTTTCCTGCAATTTACCTCTTTATTTGTCTTATCTTTTTCCCCTTTAATTCTGCATCCCTAGCCAATATTTGCTGCACAAATACTTATTGAGAGGTTATGTGATATGAACTTCATGGCCTGTTCTTTCACCATGGTATTCCCAGGACCTTAGCACAGGGCTCGAATAAATGAATTCGCACAATGGGCACCTCACTGATGAGAGAGGCCGGGATTACAGCCAACTCCCAGTCTAAAGGGTTTCTGTGGGCAGTGGTGCCGCAGTCCGGCTGCAGCAAAATAACCGGGGGGTGACAAACAGCTTGTGTAGATTGATACAGCAGGAGTGGGAGCCGTTTATTGTAGGACAGGAGACGTATATATACATTCCACACAGCTTATCTTAATTAACATAAACTAGATTCAGCAGTCAACCAATAAGGAATCTCCAAACTTAATGGCTCACTGGTGTTACTTCACAAACCACTCCCTCTGGCAAAATGCCAGGCGCCATCCAGACTTGTTTACAGACTCTAACACAGTGGTAAGAGATGAACACCTGAGAAGTGGTATGCAAGGTACCAGCTTTTCAATTCATTGTTTTTGTGACATTATAAATCCCCTGCTAGGCTGGGTGTCAGGGTGCACACCTGTTCCCAGCTGCATTAGAGGCTAAGGCAGGAGGATCACAAGTTTGAAAACAGCCTGGCTCAGGAGATAAACGGGGGGTGGGGAGCTGGCTCTGGAGTAAAGCACCTGACTAGTAAGTCCAAGGCCCTAGTTCCAATCTAGTACCAGGAGGAGAAAAATTCTCTGCTATGAAAATACATGTAGGTGCCAATAATAAGCACTTTTCTTTATTGAGCACCTACTATGTGACAGGCAAGATGCTGGACCTTAGACAGTCTTGGGCAATTCTAATAATAATGTCACCATAATGTGTGCTTTTTTTTTTTTAATGTTTGTTTTTAGTTGTAGGTGGACACAGTAACCTTTATTTTATTTTTTTATGTGGTGCTAAGGATCAAACCCAGCACCTCACCTGTGCTAGACAAGTGCTCTACCCCAGCCCCATGTGCTCTACTCCAGCCCCATGTGCTCTTATTCTACATACTTTGTGTTGTCTGGTTCAATCTTTCCAGCAATTCCACAAACAGGGTATTATCAGCCTCAGTTTATAGATGAAAAAACTGAAGATGAAGTACCTTGGCCAAGGTCACTTGCCTTGTGAAAGTGCAGACCCAGGTGTAAATCTAGACCGCTCAGACTCTAAGCCCATGTTCTGTTTCTCTGGTATGTCACTCCCTGCCACAGACAAGTGTTTTTTGTGGACTAAACTCTCACCTTTTGGCCTCTGACCATGTGGAAATGTAAGTCACTGTTTTTATGAGTGCAGCCTTCAGATACAGCTTTTAACTGTAGTGATGAGGAACAGGTCACCAGACCTTCAAACCACTTAAATTTGGGGGCACCAATTACATACTTTGATTCATTTGTACAACTTTTATTTCAAATCAAAGCACAGTCCTAGGAGATAGAAATAGAAAGAAAATAATAATAATAACAAACCCTGTGTTTCAAATGCAAGAAGGTGAACATGCAGTGTGTCCATAACACTAACTCTAGAAGGTGGGTGATCTTACCCCATAGTAGATGAGGAGAACACAGGCTCAGGGATATAAAGTGTCTTGCCCAGAGTCACACAGCTTGTTAGTGTCAGCGCCAGGACTCCACCGAGCTGCCTCCCTGGGGAGGTGAGTAATGCTGTGTTCCATGGCAGGACTGATGGTTCCTCTCTCGTCCATGGCAAGAGACGGTCTTCCTCCTTGTGCCTGTAAAGACATCCCGCTGGGCTCCACACACTCTCCTCTAGGAGCATCAGGCACTTTTCACAGCTTCGGTGTGCTCCAGGGCACATCAGCACAGATCACGGCGTGCCTGCAATCACACACATGTGACTGTATCATGGCGTAGGCATAGCAGGGCCGCTGGAGTGGTTTAACACACCGTGCCCCTACACCCAGCCTGGTGCCACGCATCCATTCTGCTCAGTTGGCTCCTTAAAGGCACAAGCCCATTTTGTCCCATTATCCATGCCAGAAGCCTCCGAGCTGTCTTGTGCTCATCTCTGACACCTGTGTCCAGTCCATTAGTACATCCTGTGGACTCCACCTTGAAACTGTGTGTATCAGGAATTCCCAATCATTGCAGGGGACTCCCTGCGTCTGCCCTTGCCCCACTCTGATCTCACTCCTCACAGTGGCCACAGATGTTATATAAAAATCTAAGTCAGTTTATGTCCCCCTTCTGGCCAGAATCCTCCAGTGGCTGCTCATCTTCAAAGCCCAGATCCTCACATTGACCCACACGGGGGCCCTCTGTGATGCGACCCCCAGGAGTTCTTCATCTCTATTGGGCCCCTGCTGGCTGGGTGGGTCCCCGCCACACTGGCCTTCTTGCTGGTTCTCATACTCCAGACAGTTCCTGCCTCAGGGCCTTTGCAGATGCCCCTCCCTCTGCCTGGAAGTCTCTCTCCAGGTATCCACTTGGTTCACTCCCTTACCTCTCTGATATCTGTTCCACTGTTACCTTACCAGAGAAACTGTACCTGCCCACCTTTATACAGTGACCCCCCCCCCCCAGCACAGCCCACCTCTCTCCTCTGCATTGTTTTGTTTTTTTAATTTACTGGCCATTATCCAATTTTATAGTGAGTTTTTACATGTTTGTTATCTGTCTAGAATGTAAGCTGCATGGAAACAGGAATAGCCTCTCAGTTGTTCAGCAACTGAGAGACCTGGTGATTAAAAGGCAGTAGGTGTTTGGTTGAGTGAATGACCACCAGGCCAGACAGTCCCAGTGTTTTGGCTTGAAACATGCGATCAGCACAAAGAGCCACCTTCTTCCATCTTCTCCTGCAGCACTTAGCACACAACCAGGCACGTAGTAGGCATTTAACAAATTGTACAAATTACACTTAGACTTGCCTGTTCAACACAGTGGTGGACAGGGGCCTCTGGAGCCAGGTGGCCTGCGTCCCCTCCCAGCTCTGTTAAATTGGCTGTTAGATGCTGCCCAAGTTGATTTTGCCTTTCCTTGAATCTCCCTCCCTCTTCAGGTGGGGATAATGGTAATCTTTCTAATGGAGCTTGGAGATGATTCCCTAGTCACACATGTAAATCACTTTAAAAAGTCCCTGTCACAAATAGATGTTTTTATTGTTGTTGCCTCTAATTCCTCAATTTTCATTTTTCCACAGATGCTGCAAATAACAAGTTGCCAGTCCCCCGACTGAGCCTCAGGTACTGCACCCTCAGTAGAGCAGTTCCCTTGACTCATCGGCAGATACTGCCCGCTGCTGGGTTAGATGCTAGTCTGGCTGTCAGAGTGAGATGGACGCAGGGAGTCTCTACCCCATGGGGCGGCTCCTGGGCCAGCAGGAAATGAGCTTCTTTTGTGTCTGTCACAGGCATAAAGTGGATGAGCACGAACAAGATGGCAACGAACTTCAGACCACCCCCGAGTTCCGAGCCCACGTAGCCAAGAAGCTGGGAGCCCTGCTGGACAGGTGAGCCAAAGTGTACGCGTCGACACCAGTGCAGCGGACACACTGGCTGGGAGCTCGGGGTGTAGCATTGGTCTCCTCAGTGCATTCATAAGCAACATGTCACATAGGTCATGCTGATGTCCTTACCCCCGGTGAGGAAGCAGGCTGTCAGCAAGGAGATATGTTTTCTTGAGGTAACAGGGAGCAAGGGGCAGAGATGGGCCTCACCCAGCTGTGTGTGACTTCACGGTTAAAGTGTTTGTTACCCCTGCCTTATCCTGCTATCATGGGATAAGAGGAACCCTGAGGAGAAGCAGGAATTGAGGAAAAGAAAATGATTGACCCCAAAATTAATAACCATTCGCTTCATTTTATTCAAATGAACATACTTGTTTAGAAAAAAATAGAAAAGAAATAAAAAGAAAGGTTAGCCTTTAAAGAATCAGGTTGGCATTCCCAAAGCGAGTACCAAGAATGCTACCTATTTTAGTCCATCCAGGCGACTATAGTAAAATTCCATAAACAACGTAGCTTATAAACATTTTGGATACTGGGAAGTCCAAGATCAAGGCACCGGCAGACTCAGTGTCTAGCGAGGCCCTCTTCTTAGTTGACAGATGGCACCTTCTAACCATCTTCCCACATGGCGGAAAGGGACAGACGGTCTCTCTCTCAAGCTTCTTTTGCAAAGGCATGAATCCCATTCACGAGAGCCCCAGGCCCGTGGCCTAAGCACCTCTAGAGACCTCACCTCCTAACACCATCACCTTGAGGTTAGGATTTCGACATAGAAATTTTAGGGCTGCACAGACATGCAGACAGTAGGCCTGGCCCAAAGTGCAGCTCTAGAAGAAGGGATCCAACAGCAAAGAAGTTTGAGAAACACTGCAGTCCACATGTATCCACGTGCCCCTGGAGAATGAGGGTCATTACAGTGGATTCAGGGCTCCGGGAGCTGCTGTGGCGGGGAAACCTGTGTCATTTGCTTGGCCCTGTGTTTTCCAAACTCATTCAGCCACAGTATGTGGCCTGGCCTCATAGATCAGTACCCGTACTGTGGAACACATCGCAGGGCAGGCTGCTCCTCGTCCATTTCTAATTGACAGTCCTGGCAGGTTTTGAAAGGAGAAGAGCACTTGGGGCCATGGTCCTTCAATTTGAAGTAAATATGCAAAACGACAGATGGGCCTTCCCACGTGTGGAACAGCTGTTCTTGTGAGGCTGACCAGAGGGTCAGAGCCCAGCAGCCTGAGCCCCCACGGCACTGGTGCCAGGTCCCCAACTCCAGGATTGGTAAGGGGCTTGAGGAAGGCCAGGTCAACTCAGCCTGAGGGAGCAGTTTTTCTGCATGACCGTTTGGCTTTGCATTGAACCAGCACAGATGCTGGGTGGCAGTCCAGCAGAATGCTCGTCACCATGGCCAGAATAGTCCCTGTACTGCTTCATGTTTCTCTCCAAAATGATACCCTAGCTGGTTCCTTCTATTAGATCGGACATCTCAACCTGGACACTGGACATTTTTGACGGGATAGCTCTTTGTTGTGGGCTGCTTTTCACATCACAGGATGCTCAACAGCCTCTCTGGCCTCGACCTAGGAGGTGCTAATGGCACCTGCCCCACCAGTCATGACAACCAACTGTGTCTCCAGGCATTGCCACATGCACCCAGGGACCTACACTGAGCCACTCTGTCAGGTCTGAGACTAGGGCCTGGACAGCATCATCTCCACTCCCTCTCCCCAAATTCTTTCCCTGCACAGGGCTTTGGGAGATGCCTGTGGCTTATGCAGAGGGAAGTTAGGAAAAGCGCTGAGCGCACGCCACAGGCCTGCTGCAATGGCAGAGGGCGCCGGTCCTGCAGGGCATGACTCTGCCTCAGCAGACAGCAGGACCCACCTCCTGGCCTCTGCCTCTAGAGAGCTGTGGCTGGTTTCTGTGAGAGGTTCTAGGAAGCTGATGACATCATCATCTCCACCACCACCACCCCCCATGGCTCCTGTGTCCTGAGCACCTGCTGTGGCCGGCTCTGTGCCAAGGGCTCCACATCCATTTTCTCATCTGATCCTTTTGACAGCCCTAATAGGAAGGGACTGTTGTTGCTCCCAGTTACAGAAATGTGACAGAGACTCAGACAAGTGGAGTCGTTTGCCAGAGGGTCACAGCAGTAAGTAACAAAGCCAGCATCCAAAACCCAGGCCTCTGCTGGGCGCAGTGGGTATGGCTGTAATCCCAGACACTTAGAAGGCTGAGGCAGGAGGATGGCGAGTTCAAGGCCAGCCTGGGCAATCTAGCAAGACGCTGTCTCAAAGTAATATGGGCTGGGGATGGAGCTGAGTGGTACACCACCTCTGGGTTCAATCCTCAGTATCACAAAAGCGCAGAGGACTCTGGAGTCTGACTAATGTCAGTGAATTGTATCAATTTCAGTTTCCTGGTTATGATGTTGTACTGTAGTTTTGCATGGTATTTGGAATCTTTTATGTGGCTCAAGTGGTAGTGCGCTTGTCTGGCATGTGTGCAGCCCGGGTTCGATCCTCAGCACCACATACCAACAAAGATTTTGTGTCTGCCGATAACTAAAAAAATAAATAAATATTAAAAAAAAAAAAAACTCTTTTAAAATGAAGAAAAAGCTGGGCACGGCGGCACATACCTGTAATCCCAGAGGCTTGGGAGCGGAATTGCAAGTTCAAAGTCAGCATCAGCAATTTAGTGAGGCGCTAAGCAATTTAGTGAGACCCTATCTCTAAATAAAAAAATTTTTTAAAGGTGGGGAGGAGTCTGGGGATGTGGCTCAGTGGTCCAAAAAAAAAAAAGAAGGAAAAAAATGAGCAGCTCTGCCCTGTTCTAGAAGCTGACTTCTGAACCACTTCTCTAGACTGGTCCTATTTCCCTTTTCATGCTATTCTGCAGTAAGCTCAAAGCAAAATCTATGGCCTTTCTCCAGTAAGTAAAGTACATAGGAAAGACTCCCTCATCACACTTCCGGCTCTTCCTGTTCCTTCTCCCATTTTTTTTCTCTGCCCTGTTGAAATTACTTTTTTTTTTTTTTTTTTGTACTGTATCTTTAAAAGTTCTTCAGTACTTTCTGGAATTATGGTAAGGTTTAAACAAAAGAAACCTTGCAGAATCAGAAGGGGCTATTGCTGTTGCGCTGTCACGGCTGAAGGTTCAGCCTTCTTACCAGGCCAGTGTGCTCTCCACTTTTGCATTTAGGATCATGTGCCCCATCGCCTCCACTTAAAAATAAATGTATTTTAAATTTAAAAACAAAAATTGTTTTTGTCATTACCGCAAATCACACCCTAATCAACCGTCTCCTCTCCCCTTAGCTCCATTACCATCTCAGAGGTAGTGAAGGCGCCAAAGACAGCTAAGAAACACAAGGTGGCTCCGGAGGATGACGGTGAGTAGTCACTGCAAACAGCAGCTGTTGTGACCTAGAGCTGGGCAGACAGTTGGGTGTTTTATGTCCTTTCACCCACTCAGGCCCTGCCCTAAGGCGGGTGACGATACCCCAGGCACAGACAGGGAACTGAGGCTCTGAGACAGAGTCACTTGTCTGCACTAAGCTCCTCTGTCTGACCCTGAGCAGGAGCAGGCTCCCCCCTGAGTCCATTGCCCTGCCCAGCTCTGTGAGCTCATTGGAGGCTGCCTTAGGTACTGGGAGGCTTAACTAGTGACTTCCAGAAGCTTCTGAGGGCTCACTGCCCCAATCTGGCAGCTGCCGCCCTGCAAACACTGCATGTCCTGGCCCATCAGGTATGGAGCAGGCCTCTCTCAGATGAGGCCTCAGTTTGCAGTCGCACCACGATGACTCCCAGGTCTTCAGCTCTGCACCAGGGGCTCCTTGAGGGCAGAGGCCGTCAGCCTCAGCACCCGGGAGAGGAGAGGTTGGCATACAGCAGCGCTGACTTTGCCCCTGTGAATCTTAGGCTTTCGCCTTTTCTTCACATCCATCCCTGGAGGCCCCGAAGAGGAAGCTTCTCCCCGCCCCCGCCCAAAGCGCCAGCCCTCCACCTCCAGGTGAGAGTCCACTCCTCTCCTCACAGTCCTTCCTGTCTTCTCCTCCCGTCTTGGCTGTCTTGGCCATCCCCCTGGTGTAATGAAGCAGACGCCAGACCAACAGGCCGCGGAAGGGGCCTGTCAGGTAACTGGAGAGGCACACCCAGCAGGCAGGGTGTTTTGGGCTTCTTTGGGGTGGATCTGTACTTTTTTTAAGCACTCATTTTGGGTCAGACTCCTTATTTTCTTGTATTTGCCTCCTAAGACATCCCTGTGAGGTCTGGATTCTAAGATCCCCATTTTGTAGATGAAGATACTAAGGGTCAGAGAGGTTAAGTCACTTAATGAGGTGTAGGTCACAGGGTTTCTGGCAGAGAAGACTAGAGCCCAGGTGTGCCCCACTCCCAAGCCTGCGCTCGCTCTCGAACTGCCTCCATCTTAGACTCTGACCAAGGGGGGGCAGCGGAAGGCGACTTTGGGACCTGCCCTGACCGCAGCTGACCTACACTACCCTCCCCTTGCAGCAGTGAGGACAGTGATGAGGAGTGGCAGCGGTGCCGGGAGGCGGCTGTGTCAGCCTCGGACATTCTGCAGGAGTCAGCCATCCACGTTCCTGTCAAGGTGGAGACGGAGGCCAAGAAGAAGAAAAGGAGGCTGAGGAGGAAAGCCCAGGAGGGGGCGGGCGCTGGCTCAGCTGCAGCCACCAGCCCCGCCCGCGGGACCTCGGTCCAGACCCAGGAAAGGGAGTCAGGGAGGGCCAATGGGGACCCGGTATCACTGGGGACCAAAAAGAAGAAAAGGAAGAAAAAGGCAAAGAAAGCCAGCGAGGCGTCGCCATTTTCACCAGCAAAGAGCACAGCCGCTGCGCCTGCCCACTGACCAGTCTGTGGGCGCCGTCCCCGGCTTCAGGACAAGGCACCCAAGGGCAGCGGACCGCGATTCCACCTGAGAGCACCTGGCTGGCAAGCTGCCTCCACCCACAGACCTGACAGTGTTTGGGGCCTGGCCCAGAGTCTGGGCAGAGAAGCCTCAGCAAGGCCTATCCCCGTGTTTCCACGGAGGGCCGGGGTGGACCTGTGGTTCCAGAACATTCCATGGCCTCAGGAAAGAGTCTTCCAGCTCTTCAAGACTAGTGGCCGAGTGTTAAAAGCTGTCATCTCCCTCTTACCCTCTGAGATGGGCAAGGTCTCTCTCCCTCCCCGACCTCTTCAGCTTGGTGTAGAAAATGTCTTTAGAAAATGAGGGAAGGAGCCCCCAAGGTGCCAAGGCCCAGGGAAACCTCTGTCCTCCTCCCTCTAGCCCACATAAGCTTGGTAGAACTGCAAAAGAGGAAAGATTCCACCCCCTTGTGCCATTCTCCAGAATTTTCTTTCTCCACATTTATGAATTTATCATACACAATGATGTCTCCGAGCCAACTAATTCATCAAAAATAAATTGTCAGTCCGGGCACAGTGGCCCACACCTATAATCCCAGCAGCTTGGGAGGCTGAGGCATGAAGATTGGCGAGTTCAAAGCCAGCCTCAGCAAAAGTAAGACACCGAGCAACTCATTGACACCCTGTCTATAAATAGAATACAAAATAGGGCTGGGGATATAGCTGAGTGCCCCAGAGTTCAATCCCCGGTACCAAAAAAAAATAAAATAAATTGTTAGAGTGGGGATGTAGCTCAGTGGAAAAGCACATGTTTAGCAGGCACAAGGCCCTGGGTTCAGTCCCCAGCACAAAATGAAAAAAAGGAAACTGGAGGTACCCAGTGCTTGGAATGCGTTGGGCACGTCCTCCCCATCATGCTGGATTCTCATGAACTATTTTCAGTGACATCCCATGTGGAATCCTCCCACCTACCTGCAAGTGCCCCTTCACCTAGCTTCGAGACTTCAGGAAGTGTCCCAGCACCTGTGGACCTGGTTTCATGCAGCAGGGTGTCCTGCAAAGTAGCCGCTCCGGCTTCCTCATCTTGCCCGAGTCTCACCAGGCAGCTGCGAGCATGCGCACTCAGCCCGTCTCAGGCCTCAGGCCCCAGCCTGCCACAGCCTCCCTCCTTTTGACCAGCCCCCAGCTGGGAGACTCATTAACAAGCAACGAGTTTCCATACATTTCTTAGAGATTTTACTAAAAGTTAAATAAATGTACAGTCCCTCCCCCCCAGCTGGCTATGAGCCACAGAGGTGCTGGGTCTCCCCAGAACCCTTGCTCAATCCCAGGTAGAGGCTGCCCACTGAGGCCTGGGTTCTCCACCGCAGGCCCAGGAGACAAGGTTCTCACAGCTGCTTTGCCCTTCCCAATGACACTCAAGACCTCAGACTCCTCAGGGTGGTTGCCAACTGCCTAGGCCCCAGTCCTCAGCCAGCAGGGCTCCAAACATCAGTGCGACCACACAGGTGGTCCCTTTGCTGATCTTGCCACTCTCTTCTCCCTCGGTCACCCCAGCTCTGCCTGGTGCTCAGGCCTTGCTGCCTTTGGAGCTCAGTAACCTCCCGTCTCCAACCAGGGAAGGGCCTGCAGGCGCCCCAAGGCCAGAGGAGCTGCTGCCCTGGGACCTGGGCTTGACACAACTGGTCACAGGAGCAAGGATGGCCCCTTAGCCCCAAAGTGGTCTTTCTGGTAGTGGCAAGATGCCAGGCCTGCTTCAGAAGGCTTGAGGATCAGGAGCAAATGTCCAGGAAAATGAGAAGTCCTGGGGCCGTGGAGAGGAGGTGGCTGGGGTGAGGGCGGCAGGAGAGCCCTGCGTGACCTCCCGGTTCGCCTGAGCTGCCTAGGGCTTGGGCGCTGAGCCCCAGGCCTGGGAGAAAGCAACCCCTTGCGACATGCCTGGTGCAAGGGTACAAATGGGCACACGTCTCACACCCTGGGAGGACCTGCAGCAGGGCCGAGTGGCCTGTGGAGGCAGAGGTGACGATGCAGCTGCGTTGACCTAGGGCTGACTCAGGGACTTGCAGAGCTCAGTGAGTCACAGCTCCCAGGCTTGTGCCTTGAGAAGGTGGCTGCCAGAGCCCCATGAGTCCCAGGGCTGTCCACAGGCCCGCGTTGGAGGCACAGGAGCCCAAGGCTGCCCCTTTCTCTTCCAAGTAACAAGTTTCGACTTCAGCAGACAGAGGGTCCCGCCGGGAACAAGCTCTGCTTCCCACTCTCCACAGTCCCCTCTTAGGCAAGTGACAATCTCCTCGGGTTGAGGCTCCTCAGAACCGTACCTTTCCAATGCTGGCAGAGGGAGAGGTGGGGACTGAGGGGAGACAGCAGCCCTGTGGCAGGCTCAGAAGTGCTCCCGGTGGTGGTGACTGCCGCCTGTCACCCCCCAGGCAGGCAGTGCAGGCTCCAGGGCCCAGCCCCTGGTAGGAAGTTGCCGCGGTCACTGGGAAGAGGAGGCCATCTGTGTGGAGATGAAGGTCTCAATGACGCCGTGGTTGGATGGCAGCAGGTGGCCGTGGCCGTTGGTGGAGTCAGAGCTCTGATACAGCACCAGGCTGCTGGCGGACACTGCGGGGGCAAGGGAGGCTGCTGGCTGCCGGCCACACCCTGGGCCCACCCCACACACCTCCCCCAAGGCAGGAGAGGCAGGGCCTCCGAGGTTCCAGAAACCCAGTGCCAGGCCTCTACCTGGGGCCACCCAGAATGCAGCCTCCTCACGATATGTTAGTGGGAACACTACAGAGGTCAGGCAAGATGGCATGGGAGCTGCAGTCAGCTCAGCCAGCTGAACCAGGCTGATTTTGTTTCTAGGAAGGCCTTTCGCGGATGTGGTTAAGGTCTAGGGTCAGCTGGCTGCTAAGTGAAGGGGGTTGCTCTGATTGTGTGGTTGGGCCTCAGCTTGTCAGCCTCAGACCTGAAGAGCAAAAGCTGAAGTTTACCAAAGAAGAGGTTATTCTGCCTCAAGACCGCAGCATTAACTCCTGAGTGACCAGCCACAGAGGACACTTGCCAGCCCCACAGTTCCACAAACCAGTTCCCTAAAGTAACTCTCCCCGTGTGTAGTGCGCTTCCTGTTGGGCCTGTGCCTTGGGGGAACCCTGACGGGTGGATGGGGGTGAGAGAACGGGCTTTGGGGATGGACCTGGGTTCATGTCCTGGCTCTGCCACCCAGTAGATGAGACAGGTCCGTCACCTCGAGTGTCCACTTCCTCCTCTGTAAAATGAGGATAAGGCGCATGCCCCATGGGGTAGAGCAGGAGCTGAAGCATGGAGTGCCCTTGGGAATGCCTAGCCCTCGGGGCCGGGGGACCTAGGGCCTCCGGGGAGGGCAGCTGCCTAAACTCAGGGGTCCTGATGGCCACGCAGGCCCCAGTGCCCAGCAGCCCGACTCCCAGGCGCCTGCTCCTAAACCCATAGGTCACAGGCAGGGGCCTCCAGGGTCACCAGCATGTGGCCAGGAGAGGGTGGGGTCAGAGTGGCCGGAAGGCATACCCTGTACTGGGGAGAGGGAACATGGACTCCCAGTTCCCCAGGAGAAACCAGAATGCCAGATTCCTCTGTGAAAACTCCAGATTTTTAAATGTTGCCCATTAATTTGAAGAATATTAAAAGCTGAGCCAAGCTAAACACATCCCGGTCCCTTCTGGTCCACAGCCCAGTTCGCTCCTCGTCCTCTCCAGAGCCGTGTCTTGTCCTTAACTGAGTCAATCCCTAGTCCTATAAGTTCGGCCCCGTTTCCCTGTGGCCGGGCACACACCTGGTGCACTCTGGATACCCAGGCCGTGTTTGGGACACTAGCCCCCCACCTGCCTCTGTGCACACCCCACCCCACGCCCCGACTCAGGGACAGCAGGGCAGGGACGGGACAAGCGCCACTCACCTGTGGGGCTGGCACTGAGCCTGTGGGCAGGCTGCAGGTGCTGGATGCTGGCAGGGTCCTGGCTGGGGATGTGGATGGTGGTGGCTGGAGAGGCTGGCGCGTGAAGCCCAGACTCACTGGAGGCATCAGTGTCCGGGGCGAAGACCTGGGGGCCCAGAGCAGTCCCCTGAGCCCTGGTGCATGGAGCAAGAGGCTCTGGGACAGGCCACGGGACGGCCAGACAGGCCAGTGCCTTACCTGCTTGGTGGGCGTGAGGCTGGCGAGGGCACTCAGGTTGGTGGTGTCGGTGATGAGCATGGTCTGCGGAAGCAGGCCTGTGTGGGTGTACTGGGCCACCTCGGGCTTGTGGCTGTAGAGAGCTGGTGGGGACAGAGGGAGTGAAAGAGGATACAGACATGGCACCCCGGACTTCCCTGGGAGGCCTCAAAACAGGCTGTGGGGGAAGGGGTCATGAGGCCTTCTGAATGCCCAGCCCCCGGCAGGAGGGGGGCCCTCTTCTTTACCCAGACCTGCTCAGCTGGAATTGATGGGGAGGAACCTGGGGAAGGCCAGCGACCAATTCCAGTTCCTCATACCACCTAGAGCCCACAGGCATGAAAAGGAAGGGACGGTGCAGGTGCAGTTGTACTAAGCACAAGCACCACGGTACTAAGCACAGGTGCTGTTGCATAAGTGCAGGCCTCAGAAGAGAAGGCAGGTGGCCCCATCCAGGTGAGCAGGGCAGAGGACAGTAATGCCTCCATCTGCAGGACAGCTCTCCAACACATAAGTCAGTGTGTCCCCTCAGCACCCCCAAGAGGCACACAGACACTTCTCAGGGACTCAGATGAAGCCTGACATCACAGGCACACAAAGATGTACACTTTGAACTCTGTGTGCGCGCATACACACACACGCATGCATGCGCACACACACAGGGGTCTACGGCCCTTATCACAATTCCTCATTCCAAAGAGGTCTGAAGCCCAGAGGTTCCCATGGTGTGGCCCCAGGGCTCATTTGGCGGCTACCCCCCAACACAAAACCCGGCTACAAGTTACTGAATCTCCAACCTGCTTCATGGAACTGCTGCAGAGACCCCCTTGATGACGGGATGGGAACAGTGTGTGACACGTGGCATTTCCACCTAGCTACCCTTCTAAAGTCACAACCAGCAAACTCCAGGCTTCCAGAGAAAGGGCTGTGGCCTGGGCCCCCCCCCCCCCAGGGACGCACAGCCTCTGAACACGCAGAGCACACTGAAATGCAGCCTCCAGCCGCACATGTGCACACGCCCGTGTGTGTTCATGTGTGGGGACATAAGGTGACCCGCAGCTACCCTGTCCCAGAAGCGCTCGTGCCCACACCAGACAAGGCACCTGCCACGCTGCTGCTTCCCTTGCCCCCAGCACGGCCAACCTGCCCCAGCCCAGGGCAAGGGCTCTCACCGTGAGGACCCTGCAGTTGGGCCATGGTGGCCATGAAGGGACTCTGGGCCACGTGGCTCTGCACGGGTGACATGAGAGGCTGCTGGTAGGAAGGGTGCAGCGGCTGCGAGAACTGGACCGGCTGCAGGGTGGTCAGGCTGCTGCCCATGCTGTTGATGACCGGCACGCTCTGTGCCTGAGTGGAGGCCAGGCCTGGGGCAAGAGGGTGGAGTCAGCTGAGCCACCACCCCAAAGTCCCCTTGACTCAGCCCAGACCCCCGGAGGCACCAACCCCCTTCCCAAAGCCCCGGATGAAAAGAGGGGAGGGTGGGGCAGTCAGGAAGCAGCCTGCACTGAACCACCAGGAACTTACATGACCCTGGCGAGTCCCCCTCTTTGAGCCTTTAGCTCCCGTTAGCTGATTCTGATGGAGAGGAGGGCAACGACCCCTGCCCAGGTTGTCAGACTGGGTGCCCTGGAACCCCGGTGTTCCCCAGCAGAGCAGCGCTCCTGGGCTCAGCTCCTGCTGCCCCCTCCCAGCAGCCCCTCTCTGTCTTGTTGTGTATTTGCATACTAATTTCTGCAAAAGAAGGCTTTCTGGGCTTTAAAAAAAATTGGAAGTATCCATGCCCCCCTCACCCTGTGCTATTTCCCCACCTTTTAATCTGAGGTACTATATGATTTTGTGTTGTGCTCATTGCCTTCCACACTGGGCTCTCTGAGATTTGGGTTGATTTGGTTCCTTTGTGCACTCAGAAAATGCATGTTGCACTGGGCGCTGTGGCACACACCTGTCATCCCAGTAGCTTGGGAGGCTGAGGCAGGAGGATCGTGAGTTCAAGGCCAGCCTCAGCAACATAGCACAGCCCTAAGCACCTCAGCAAGACCCTGTCTCTAAATAAAATATAAAAAGGGCTGGGGATGTGGCTCCGTGGTTCAGCGGCCCTGGGTTCAATCCCCAAAAACAGAAAGACAAGAAAAGACAGTGCGTGTTGTAGGTAGGAACAAATGAATGAATGACCCCTTAGATTCTGCAGGGGACTTGCAGCAGCCGCCCAGGTGCCCGCCCAGGTGCCCAGCTTCCCACCAGCTTACCAATGACCAGGGTGGAGGCGCCTGTGTTGGTGAACGTGGAGCCCAGGGAGGCAGGCTCACCAGGCCCGATGGTCATGACCCCAGGGAGCGAGGCCATGATGAGGTTCTGGGGCTGCTGGTTGAGGCCCGGCGACGTCTGCTCCAAGCTGTGCAGCGCTGTCAGCGTGCTGACAGGGGGCAGGGGGCCCCCAGTGGCTGAGACCTGCCAAGGGGAGTCAAGCTGAGTCAGGGTGGGGCCCAAACAGCCTCCCAGAGGACCACCCCGGGGCCTCCTAGCCAAAGGAAAGTGGGGTTGGAAAGGTTTTTGCCACAGGTCAGGGACACTCACCAGCTTGGCTTCAGTGCTCAGCAGGCTGTGGCTGGGCTCCAGGCCTGTGGGGGACACTTGGTGCAAAGGGGTGGACACTGTCACTAGGGAACCACCGCTGCTCGAGGGCACCTCTGCTGCCTCACTGGTTGCAGGCTGTCCATAGCGCACGCCTGGAGTGGGGACAGTGTCCAGCCTCAGCACCCTCCCTGTCCCCTCCTGCCTCACAGACCTTGTCACTCCATGGCTTGGCTCAGGTCAGCTGACCCATCTTTCCTCCCGCAGCTGCAAACTGCTGAGCATCACCTTGGGCCAGGCCCTGGCCTGTGCTTGCAGCTTCATGTCGCCCGATGCCTAGTTCTATCCCTGGCATACAGTAGGTGCTCAATAAAAGAGAATGGAACTGAGCTGAATTGGAGCTAGTGGAGGTAAACTGAAGGGAACTGAATGGAATGAACTGGAACTAGTTGAATTAAATTGTATCTAGTTGAATTGAACGAAAATGAGCTGAGCTTGATTAAGTTGAGCTGAATGAAGCCCAACTGAATTGGATTAAGTTGAATTAAGCTTTACAGTCAGCCCTGCATGTCCGTGGGCTCTACATTCTTGAATTCAACCAACTGCCAACTGAAATATTTGAAAAACATTTTTTTTCTCTGTAGTGGACACAAATGGACTTTTTTCTTGTCATTTTTCTCTAAACGATACAGTGTAACAGCTATTTACACAGCATTTACCTTGTCTGAGATATTGTAAATGATCTAGAGATGGTTTAAAGAATACAGAGGATCCAACTGCTCAAATGCAAATACTACCCCGTTTTATATAAGGAATTTGAACATCTTTGGATTTTGCTATCTCCAGGGGGTCCTGGAACTCACCTCTTGCAGACCCCAAGGAATGACTATGGAACTGAGCTACACTGGAGCTAGTGGACGGAAACTGGAGGGAACTTGACTCAATGGAATGAACTAGAACTGACTGGATTAAACTTATATCTAGTTGAATTGAACGAAAATGAGCTGAACTTGATCAAGTTGAGCTGAATGAGCCCAAATTGAATAGGATCAAGTTGAATTAAACAAATTTAAAATTAAAGCGAATCGCCTTGAACTTCACTTAGTTAAACTGAGGGGATTGAATGGGAAATGGTTGAGCGAGGCCAACCTTAAGTGAGCTAAACTGTCCTATAATGAGTTAAACACAATTGAAGGGAACCGAATTGGATTCAGTGGAACTAACAGGGTTTGAGTCAGTGGATCTGAGGTGACCGTGGTCCACTGAGGTCAGTGACCCCAGTTAGATTCAGTGGAATTGAAGAGGGCGAGTGGAGTGAGGTGAAGTGGTCAGCTCTGATGGAGCGGGGCAATGACTGGACGCGGGTGGAGGATGGGTGGGTGGGATGGGCTGGACGAGTCCATGGAGTACGTGTGGGGGAGCGTGTTGGGCTTATAAAGTGGAACCAACAAGTGCTCAGAGGTTTGGGTGTCTACTGCCACTGGGGCAGCCCACCCGCTTGCCCCTTTACCCGCTGTCCCAATCTACCCCCCAGATAGCACTCACCGTGGACCTTACTGGGGGAGAGGGCGGGTGGGGGTAGGCCAGGGGAGCTATGGGCAGGCAGCGCGGGTCCTGGGCCTGGCCCCGATGGGGGCCCGCTGTACGTGTCCATGGCCAGCTTGTGCCGAAAGGCTTCTTCTTTGCGCCGATTGGCAAACCAATTGTACACACGCACCTCCGTGACAAGGTTGGAACCCAGCCCCTGTGCCTGCGACGGTGACACTCCCCTCTGGATGCACTCCGCCCTGCAGAAATGGCCACCCATGAGCCTCCAGGCTGGGCGCAGAGAAGCCCTCTCCTGGGGAAGGTCCTGAGAAGTTGAGCTCTACCTGAGTGTTGGGGGCTGGCAGATCTGGATTCTAATACCAGTTCTGCTGTGTGACTTTGGGCAAGTGACTCAGCCTCTCTGACCTCAGTTATCATATGAGCAAAACAGCCATGGGGTTGTGGAGAGGTTGGAATGAGGTGAATATTCACCCAAAGGGTTGCTTGGTGGGTGGGGGACACTAGGAATAGAATGAGGTTCAAGACACTGAGCAGCTGTTGAGTCCTCACAACTCTTTGGGCCAAGCCACATTCATTGACAGCAGGAGCTCTCAAGAACTGGGGAGCCCTCCTCAGATCCAGAGTTACCTTCCTGGCCTTGCCCCAGCCCCACCCCAGGCAGCCCCACCCTCACCACCACTCCACCTGTTGCACTCCTCCACCAAGGTCTCTCGCTCCTCCTTGCTGGGGTTCTTCTGCCTCTCATAGGCCTGGAACAGGATCTGCTGGGATGCTGGGCCCCACTTGAAACGGTTCCTCCGCCCCTTCTTGGTTGGCAGCTCGTCACCTGTGGGCTCCTCAATCAGCCCACCCTGCCCTGCATGGGTGAACTCTGCAGGCCCAGAAAGACATGAGCAGGGCATCAGTTCACCTGACCATCCCCCCGATTCTCTCATTGTCAGGGGGCTGAACCAGAGGAGTTTATATCCAGAACTCAGCTCGTCCCATCTAATCAGCTAATCCATTAATAACAAGCATAGCACACAGCCCCTTTCTTAACCTGTGTCCCAGGCAGACATCACTAATCAACCCCTGCACACTTTTTGACTGAGCCAAGATGTCATCTCCCAATCCTCAGTACAAGGCTCTGGGTAAGCGTTAGCATTGTTCAGATTTGGCACATTTACTATCCCCATTTTATAGGTGAGGTAAATGAGGTTTAGGGAGGTTATCTAATTTTCCAAGGCCACACAAGAAAGCAGAAACTTGCACCTTGTCCCCTGAGCAGATTCAGAGCTCATGTCACCTCTCCAGACCTGGAAATTAAGCTTACAATGCAAATGTTGGCCAGGAAAAATTAAATGATCAGGATAAATATAGGAGAATCTCTCCATGACCTTGAGTTAAACAAAGACTTCATAAACAGGACACAAAAACTAACTATAAGCTTAAAAACTAAGAACTTTTGCTGATCAAATGACATCCAATTTAGAGTATAAGGCAAACCACAGAGCAGGAGATTATATTTACAGTACTTAATTTTTTTAAAGGCCTTATAATCAGAGTGTATTTTAAGAAACTCTTATAAAACCATCAGTAGAAAAAACAGATAATCCAAGAGAAAAAAAAAAGGAACCTCCTGAGCAGGTGTTTTGTTTTGTTTTGTTTGTACCAGAGATTGAACTCAGAGGTGCTTAACCAGTGAGCCACATCCCAGCCCTTTTTAAAAAATATTTTTTTAGGGCTGGGGATGTGGCGGTAACGTGCTCGCCTGGCATGCACGGGGCACTGGGTTCGATCCTCAGCTCCACATAAAAAATAAAATAAAGATGTTGTGTCCGCCAAAAACTGAAAAATAAATATTAAAAAATTCTCTCTCTCTCTTAAAAAATATTTTTTTTAGTTGTAAATAGACACAATACCTTTATTTATCTTTATGTGGTGCTGATAATCGAACCCAGTGCCTCACATGTGCTAGACAAGTGCTCTACCACTGAGCCACAACCCCAGCCCTTTTTACTTTTTATTTAGAGACAGGGTCTCACTGAGTTGCTTAGGGCCTCACTAAGTTGCTGAATCTGGTCTTGAACTTGGGATCCTCTGGCCTCAGCCTCCTGAGTTGCTGGGATGACAGGAGTGCAGCTGGCTACATTAGGATCTATCAAAGATTCCAAAGTACCTACTCTGACCCAGCATTCCACTCTAGGAATTCTTCCTACAGACAGACTCGCACGTGAGCATGAACGTGTATAAATAGGATGTTCTTTGCAGCAGGTGATTGCAATAGCAGATTGGAAAAACCCTATAAGCCCTTATAGGTACCTTCAAATAATAGCCAGTAGCCCTTAAAAAGAATGAGGTCAGGCGGGGCACAGTGGCACACACCTGTAATCCCAGAGGTTTAGGGGACTGAGGCAAGGCAGGAGGGCTTCCAGTTCAAAGCCAGCCTCAGCAACTTAGCAAGACCTTGTCTCTAAATAAAAAATATAGAAAGGCTGGGATGTGGCTCAGTAGTTAAGCACCCTGGGGTTCAATCCCTGGTACCAAAAAAAAAAAAAAGAGAGAGAGAGAGCCAGCGAGTGAGAGTGCGTGCGTGCAATCAATCTCTCAATGCTGATATAAGAAGATATATAGGATTGATTTTATTGGCCTGGGTTGTAGCTCAGTGGTAGAGCGCTTGCCTCGAATGCATGAAGCCCTGGGTTTGATCCTCAGCTCATAAATAAAGATATTGTGTCCATCTACAACTATAAAAATATTTTTAAAAAAGAAGATGTACAGGCTTAATTTTATTGCTGAGAGAAAAAAGCAAGGTGCCAAAACTGTGTGTAATATGTTCCCATTGACTGGAAAGAAACACCTAAAGCTAGTATATGCATACAATATCTCTGAAAGGATACACAGGACCCTGGGAATGCCAGTGGCTGCTTTAGGGGAAGGACACCTAATTTTTATCATTTTTTAAAACCAAATACATATTGCCTTTTTTAAGACCTGGAAAATGAATAAAAGAAAGGTCAAAATTTTACATATAAATGGAAGCTGAAGAGCGTGCAAGTGCACTGGGAACTTGGGGGGAGGGAAGCCTTAATAAGGAGACTCACCATTCCCAGAGTAACTGTGTACCCGGGTCTTCCCAGTTTATCAGTGGAGTGTACCCCCTTGCCTCTGAGTCTTTGCTGGTGCCATTCCTCTGCTTGAAACACCCTTCCCTGCATCTCCAAAGGTTAAAATTCGACTCACACTGAAGACCTTATCTAAAGGTCATGCTTTCAGTGTGAACCTTCCTGATACCTCTGCCACCCTGAGGTAGAATAGATTAATCTCCCCCCTCCACAGTCAACTCACTACTCTGAAATACTGACTACTCTACCCTGGGCCTGGCACAAAGTAAGTGCTCAATAAATACTAGATCTCATGGTTGTTTTTGTTGCCACGTTATAATGTCTCGCTGTAACCTAACAGTCTCCATCCCCTTCCCACTAAACAGTGAGTTCGTGGAAGGCAGGAGGGGTCCAGTCCATCCATCTTTGGACGCCCTGGACCAACCCTGCACCCTCCCCCAGAGTGCCTTAATAAATGTGGATTGAGTCCCGCTGGCTCCTGTCTCCCTGTCTGTGTAATGGGGCAGGGAAGCTTCCAGCCCCGCCCTAGGTGGGTTCGAGGCCAGGACGAGCCCGGGGACCTGCTGGGGTGGTTACTTACGCTGCGCCACCTCTCGCTGCTTGCGGACGTACCAGGTGTACAGGGCCGCGCGCTTCTGCGTCTTCATGGGGGTGCCCTTGTTGAGGTGCTGGGACAGGTGGGACTGGTTGAGGCCCGTGGTGTCCACCACCTCCCGCTGCGGGATATTGTGCTGCTGCAGGTAGGACTTGACCATCTTCGCCACGCGCCATGGGTCCTCCCTGCGAGAGAGCGAGGACGGGGTCAGCTCTGTGGGCTGCCGGGTGACCCCTGCCAACCAGCAGGTGAGGCTGGGGCCTGGGGACCTGAGACCTCCCCTGCACCTGGGTGGGGATTGTGGAGGAAGGTGGATACAGAGCCCAGGAGCTGCACCAGGCAGGAACAGGAAGGTACGGTCACCCTAGGACACAGGCCTGAGGACACACAGACAGATGGACACAGATGTAGGCATGAACAGACTCCCACGGATTCCTCCCCTCATCCTCATCCTCTCTGAGATTTTTTTTTTTTTTTTTTTGGTGCTCAGGATTGAACCCAGGGGTGCTTAACCCCTGAACCACACCCCCAGCCCTTTTTTATATTTTATTTAGAGACAGAGTCTCACTGAGTTGCTTAGGGCCTTGCTAAGTCACTGAGGCTGGCTTTGAACTTGCGATCCTCCTGCCTCAGCCTCCCAAGCTGCTGGGATGGCAGGTGTGCACCTGGCCTGACCCTGGGAATGTTAAATGTGTGTTACCCACCTGGAGAAACTGTAAGCACCTCGAGGGCAAGAACTGTCCTCTCAGCACCAAAATGGGCCTGACTTAGAATATGCCATTGATAGGGGAACATGGGAATAAGTGGTTGGAAGGACGGATGGGAGGGTGCGTGGGTAAGTAGATGGATGCACAGACAGGGGGAACCAAGGGCAGACGGAAGGGCTGATGAAATGATGTGTGGGCAGATGGACAGAGGATGGATGGGTATGGAGGATACCCACTGGGGACAAAAAGCAGAAATGTGGATCCTTCTGGCTTACAGCCAGGATCACTGAGATTCAGAGAGCCGGAATTACTCTTGTCTCTTGCCCAAGGTCACAAGGCTGGCCTAGAGGGTCCCACCCTAACTAAAGGGATTCAGTTCTAAGTCAGCCCATCAGGCAAAATCATAGGGTCAAAATGCCTGAAATCTGCCCTCAGCCCTTGGCAGCAGCCTAGCCAGTCTGTCCACGGCACCAGCAGAGGCCCAGGTGAACCCAGGCTGCAGGCTGCATTCAGAACCCTCATTACAACAAAATGGTTTTTTTTTCATCCAGACTCAGTAGTGCACACTGAATCCCAGTGACTCAGGAGGCTGAGGCAGGAGGATCACAAGTTTGAGGCTAGCCTCGGAAACTTAGCAAGACCCTTTCTCAAAAAGGAGGGGAGGGGGCTGGAGATGTCACTCAGTGGTAGAGCACTCCTGCATTCAATCCCCAGTACTACCAATAACAACAACAACTGTGTTTTTCTGGGCACAGTAAAGCAGCCTGTCATTCTAGCAAGAGGATCACAAGTTCGAGTCCAGCCTGAGCAACATCACAAGACCCTATCTCAAAACAAAAAATAAAAAGGGCTTGGGATGTAGCCCAGGAGTAGATTGCTTGCCTAGCATGTGCGAGGCTCCGGGTTGGATTCCCAGCACCAAAACCAAAATAAAACTGAGTTCTGGAATCCCACTCTGAGGACCGAAGCTCTCCAGGAGAGTGACTCAAGGGGCCTGAGGTCACCTGTGATCCATGTCTCTATCCTCTGCTCACTGTGAGTCTTCCTGTGAGGAAAGAAGGGATCAGACTGCCCATACCGTATCAATTCTCTCTTCTCTTGCTCTGCCCCAAGCCCCCACCCCTCGCTTACAGTACAAACGGAAATGCAGATCACGACGTCGGCGCTGGAACTGGCGGAACCGAGATTCGAACCCACATCTGCGTGATTCCAAAGCCCCCGTTCTCCCCTCCCGGCTTGACTCAGCGATCTGCTTCTAGAATCTGAGGCTTCCACTGTTTGCACACATGACACATGGCGCTCATAGAAGGCAACTCTTGCTGCATTGCTTGCCCCGGCAGAAGACCCCAAGCAAGCAACCAATCCAGCAAAAAGAGGCTGCGTCCTGACTGCGCCCTGGGAGCCCCTGCAGAAGCCCTGTGCGCAGCCGCCCGGAGCAGTTAGGGACGTCCGCTCTGCTTTATTTGTGTAAAATTTGTTTTTTCCCATTTGAGTAAAATGTAAAGGGCGGTGAAACAGGCTTTCTCCATGTTTGACTGTGCACATGTGAAATACCAGAAAGGCGTGCCAGGACCCGGAGATGCAGGTGACCCTCAGGGGGCGGGGCTGGGGACAGGATGAGAGGGACGGTTTTCTCTGTAGCTCTTCTGTACTTTTAAAATCACTTGATACATTGCAATTTTGTATCATATACTATAATTCATACAGTCCCTCAGTAAGGGGGATCGCTGCCAGGTCCCCCTTGGACATCAAAATCCATGGATGCTCAAGTCCCTTGTATAAAATGCCATGGTATTCGCAGAGAACCTGCCACACTCACCTGCATACTCTGAGCCATCTCCAGCTTCCTTATAATACCTAATACAACGTCAGTGCTGTAGAACTAATTATTTCACTGTGTTCTTTAGGGAATCCAGACAAGAAAATTCTCTGTGTTCCAAACGGACACATTTTTTTCTGAGTATTTTCAATCCACTGTTGGTTGAATCTGCAGACTTAGCAGCCAAGGATTCAGAACCTGCAGATACAGGGCTCCACTGTATAGACAATTTTAAATGAAACTGCAACCCCCTAGATTCAGAAGCCACCCCACAGCCTTCTCTCCCTCCAAGAAGCAGCGATTGCCTGGCTCCCTCAGGAGGCAGTGCCCTCCACAGGGATCAGGGACCCCAGCCTTTGTCACTTGGACCCTCTGACTTCCTCCTCCTTATCAGCAGTTCTCTGACGGCAGAGCAGGGAGGAAAGGAAGGTGGGGACAGGTAAGTCTAAATTGGTCAGCATAGTACTGCAAAGTCCCACTTGTGTAAAAAATGACAATGATGAGAATTAATGACCCTTGACTATTTGCCATGAGCCCAGCACTGTCCTGCGGGTGACCATTTAATCTCACAATAACCCAGGAAGCAGGCTCGACTGGGATGCCCACTCCCCTGGTGAGGAACCGAGGCTCAGGAAGGTGAGGCTGCTGTCAAGGTGACCTAACTGGGGTGCAAGAATATGTTGTGTTGTTGGGGCCCGCCCGCCCCTCCCTGGCTTCTTGCTCTATGATCAGGGGCTCCTGGGAGCCTCTGCCACCTCCCCCTTCCCTGGGTGCCACTCAGAGCTAGGAGGGAAGGGCAGTACAAAGTCCAGCCTTGTGCAGCGGGCAAACATGTTTATCTGATGGCCTCCCCGCCCCTGCCCCTGGTGGCAGCCGCCCCCTCCTGCTCCCTGCTCCTCCCTCCCCTTTCTCTCCTCCCTGGAGAATGGGGTCAGTCCTCTCCCCAGGGCCTCTCTTGGGCTCAGATTGAAAATCTATGTAGCTGTCCCTCTGACCCATGTCTCTCTCTGCCTCTCTCTCTCTCTCTCTCTCTCTCTCTCTCTCTCTCCCCTGCACACCAGGTCAAATAAAATAAAGTCCAGCCACTTTCCACAAACATAGGACAGTTACCTGGATGGGGAAAATGACAAGCAGAAGCATTAAACTCAGTTAATAGGATCTTTCTTTCTTTCTTTCTTTGTACCAGGGATTGAACCCAGGGTCACTTTACCACTGAGCCTCATCCCCAGCCCTTTTTATATTTTATTTAGAGACAGAGTCCCACTGAGTTGCTTAGGGCCTCACTAAATTGCTGAGGCTCTCAGAATTTGAGATCCTCCTGCCTCAGTCTCCCAAGACAGTGGGATTACAGGTATGTGCCACCACACCTGGCAGAACTTTCCATTTTTAAACAATTCCTGGGACTGGGGTTGTGGCTCAGCAGTGGAGCACTTGCCTAGCACATGTGAGGCACTGGGTTCAAACCTCAGTACTACATTAAAAAATAAATAAAACAGAGGTATAATAATAAAGAACAACACCTAGTAAAGTTAGACAACAAATGCACAAAAAAAATGAATTTAAAATGCCAATCAGGCCAGGCATCGTGATGCGTAACTAAAATCCCAGCAACTCGATCGGCTGAGGCAGGAGGATCTGCAAGTTTGAGGCCAGCCTCAGCAATCTAGCAAAATGATGTCTCAAAATTAAAAGAAAAGAATTTAAAAGGCTGTGAATGTAACTACTCATAGATAAAGCCCTGGGTTCACACCTCAGTACCAAAGGATAAAAATAAAACAGTCAGTCTGCAAACAAAAGCTAAGAGGGCCTCCCTTTCCCTTTTCTGGGGAAAGTCACCAGTGCTCCTTTTTTCTAGAACCTACTGAGTTGGTCTCTGTCTCTCGGTCACTCCCTCTCTTACACTCATGCACCCCCTTGGTCTCCAAGGACCTGACCCTTCCCGGGACAGCTTCCCCAGCTCAGAACTAAGAGACCGAGGCCCCAGGTGCATCCTGCTTTGACCCCAGTGGGTTTGAGAGTCGCACCAAGCTGGGTTCAGATCCCGCAGCTGTGTGAGCTCACCTGCCCTCACTGCTCGGAAACACGGGTGATCCATGCCCCCTCACACCTGTCAGGAGCGTTCAGGGAGGGTTTGGAGCAAGGCCTGGCCCTCAGGAGGGGCTCAGTAAGGGTAGGATACTGTGATGCTGGTCCTCACCCTCACATCCCCATCCACCATGTGGTCCTTCAGACCCGGCCTCCCCGCAGAGCCCAGGAAGCCCAAGGATCTGCCCACCTCCTCCTGCTCTCGCCTTCTGCCCACCCTGGGGTCAACCGGACAGCCAAGACTTTGGGCCTTTTGTCCTCTGGTCCCCAAGGTCATGGAATGGGGGATACTGGCCTGAAGGGCTGCTCCCCTAGAAGACGAGCTGAATTCCCCCATCTCTGGCCTGAGATCTGAGTCCGAATCTCAACTCTGCTGCCCAGGATCGGAATGCCTTGGGAAGGAGCCTGGCCTCAGTTTTCCTGTCTGTGAACTCTGGCTAGAAATGTCTCATCTCTCAGAGATCCTCAGGAGGGAGAAACGAGTCCCATGCATTTGGAAGCCTGGGGGGGCCTCAGAGTTTAATGGGCACAGGGCTCCGCACTAGTGGGCATAGGATGCCGCAGGCCCAGTCCTGGCCTCAGTACTTGGAAGTGTTACCTTGGGTGAGTCCTTTGCCTCTCTGAACCTTAATTGAATCGTCTGTAAAATGGGGTCACCTGAAACAGTAGGGTCAGCTACCCGTCACTGCGAGTCCTCCATGTACAGTTCTGCGGGCACCATGCCATTCAATCCTGGGTGGGAATGTGATTTTCATCTCCACTTTGCAGAGGAAACTGAGGCTTAGAAAACTGAAACCAGCTGCCTGAGCTGGAACAGAACTGGGATGAGGGCCAGGCAGGCTGGCCCCAGTCAGGTCCTTTGTCCCACCTCAGCCACTGTCTTCCTAGCTCTCAGTGCCTGGGCGCTGCTTGACGAGGAGGAGCACAGAGCTCCAGCTTTGGGGTTTGAGCTGTTCAGGACGGGGGGGGGGGGGGGGGGGGGGGGGGGGGGGGGGGGTCGGGGGGGG